GCGGGGGGGGGGGGGTAATTAACGTATAGATCTGTCTTCAAGTAGCCAACACAGGTTCCTTGATAAAATAATTAAGACACTTCTTTGACAAATACGATTATTTTTCTGGCTTTTAAAGATATTATCGCTCTTTATCATTCATTTTATTTGGACAATAATAGGGATCACAAATAAAAGTTTCAAATAAAATTTTGAAGCGTCAAAACTGCTATTGATAAAGCATCTACCCGTTGAAAAAGCATAAGTTTATCCAACGGCCTGTATCACCAACACGTATGAGATAAATGAATATATCATAGCACTTTGCAAATGCCTAACTTAAAAATTTATTATTATCTGCATAGGATAAAGTTTTCCCTAAATAAATTGCATTCTAAAACAGAAAAAAATGGTTTTTTATGCATTCATTTGTTATTCTCTCCTTTCGTTAATACCCTCGCCATCCCCTTTTTAACAAGAGAGACATCTATTCCAGGATTATGATACAAATTCAACACCGTGAAACTTGAAACTTTAACGTCGCATTGTCTCTCTGGGACGGGGTTTAAATAACCCTCAATCGGAGACCTGTTTTTCCTAATTTACAAAATTATCTATGATTCGTTTGACTAAGCTCAATCAGGATATCAATGAGGATAAGATAAGCTTTCTCAAATGCAGATCAAATATTTTGGTACCTTAAATAAGAAATAAAAATGTAAAATATAGAACCCTAGTACCACCTGTTCAAAACATTTTTAAAGGTAGGACAAACTCTAGGGTCAAGGTCCAAGAGTCAAGGTTGTTGCTTTCTAAGAAAAGGTCTTGTCTAAAAGATAAAATATGGGAAGTATGAAAGCGCTGACCATTGCCGTTCATAAGTAACATTTGACCTACTTTTAACAAACTTTAACCTTCGACATAAAAAAACAAGATATGACAAGTAATGTCGCATGGCCCCCAAATTTCTAAGAAAAATAGATTACTTGTAATAAAAAGACACCCCAGTCATTTGAAAAATGGAAACACCTACTTTTTATAAAACATATTAGATTTCTTCTCATTCGTCCATAAAATAAATTTTAGAGGACATTGATTCTGCATGATCATGAAAAAAGTAAGAATATTTACAGTATTTTCAGCATTCTTACGCTCTAAAAACTATGAGCGACTAAGAGTACCACTGAGATATTTTGTTATTTGAGAACACTACATAAGTACTTGCTTTGTTTAAAAAATCTTCGTGGTACTCTTAGTTGCTTATGTTTAAATATTAGAAAAGGCAAAAAAAGTATAAATATAAAATTCGATTGGTAATGATCAACCTGCTTTTTTTCCGGATTAACAATGTGACGGGTATTCGATTTTATACAAGCTGCTCCTTGTATGTGTCTTTCTTTAGATACTTAAAACCATATATTTTTCACTGAATAAAAGGATTCTGAATGATTAAAACCTTTAAATTTTGCAAAATTAATATGAGTAAACAATAAACATGTGTCATAATCTGACAGTGATAAGAAGGTGACGTACGTTATACAAATGTATCTATAGATCCATATCATGAACAACTCTAATCATTTTTCTTCATAAAATACCAATTTCGGAAGTATGTCAATAATCAGTAATCTTATAGTTTGGGCAAATTATAAAATGATCATTGATTTAAATTTTTACTGAAAATCATAGATCCTTCTGAAGTTCACCGACGAGACCTTCTGTTTAATATTATTTATTTTAATGCAATAAGTATTTTGATACCCCGGTTACCCATCAACTGGTTAATTTCTTTCCATAATCCTTTCAAAGCTAGAACACCTTATCTTATCCTCCTTCAATGAGTAAAAAGTCTGTAAAACAGTTTGTCGTGTGTTGCCACCTTTGTGACCTTTAATAATTTGTTTGAAATTCTCAAAAGTATTATTAATAATGACATATAATTTTTAGCAGACACAAGATATCAAGATGAGAAATAAAACCAATTTTGTAAAGGGAGATAATCCAAATTTACAGTAATTACCACTTAGATTTAACAGAAAAATCATGAAAATGGGTCTGAAAACGCTAAAACATAAATTTAAACAACAAACAAATGGCGGAGGCGGGGCGGCAGGAGGTAAATAACAAACTTTGAAACAACGTCCGTCCTCCAAGGATGTAGATGGGAGAAAAGGCAGAGTAACGCACCGCATGGTCAGAATTTTATTTGTTAGATTTTAATTGGTCAGATTTTGATTGGTCAATCTCTGCCTCTCCTACCACGGTAAGACATGGAACAAAATTAACATTACAAAGCACAGCTATACAGTATTTCAGACTTTCACATTCAAGGAGGACACTTATTGATTACAATAAAAAATTTTAAGTAAACTTAAATTTATTTATTTTAATGCAATAAGTATTTTGATACCCCGGTTACCCATCAACTGGTTAATTTCTTTCCATAATCCTTTCAAAGCTAGAACACCTTATCTTATCCTCCTTCAATGAGTAAAAAGTCTGTAAAACAGTTTGTCGTGTGTTGCCACCTTTGTGACCTTTAATAATTTGTTTGAAATTCTCAAAAGTATTATTAATAATGACATATAATTTTTAGCAGACACAAGATATCAAGATGAGAAATAAAACCAATTTTGTAAAGGGAGATAATCCAAATTTACAGTAATTACCACTTAGATTTAACAGAAAAATCATGAAAATGGGTCTGAAAACGCCACTGACTTGACCGAACTAGGGAAAGTTCAGACCCATAAAGGAAAAATAAAGGGCAACACACCTCAAACATAAATCATACCAAAAGTGAGTCAAATTTACAAACATGGGAATAAACATATGTCCCGTCATGCAATAAAACAACAATTTGAATTCACAAGTGTCTTATGAGGGATAGACATATGCCCCCATCACAACCAAATGAGTTTACTATTCCTAGTGTATTATGTCTGTGGGTCCCAAGTATTAATGTATCACTATGTAGAATGTCCGATAAGGGATAAATATATGCCCTTATAGTCGCAAATCATCATCTTATTCGATGTTTTTTACTAAGTTCACATGTATGTGGTATTCATTTAAGGATTACTCAAGCAATGTTTTAGATGAGGGATAGACATATGCCCCCATATTGGAAAATATTTCACACTGTAAGCTTCCTCACCATTTTAAATGTTTATATGCACGCGATCTTGTCACCTACTAGCCTAAGTATTAACAAATGACTTAGGCACTATTGTTCTGGATGAGGGATAAACATATGCCCCCATTCGTTAATACTCTTGAAAATCACTTCAAAGTCGAGATCCTATACAATAAACAAAACAAATCTGCTCCGAGGATCCACTTCCACTCAAGCATATATCAACATGGTGTCACATGTCTTATGCAATATTTAAATGCATCCGATTTCCATCTACCCAGGAATCTAATCTGACTATCGCTCATCCCTCGTGATGCACAGTAAGAGGCCATTCCGATTCGAAAGGAATGTCCTTTGAATCTATTGACATCCAAATTACAAAACATGAGGCTTTGCTTTAATATGTTTGAAAATTCTTGCCTTGTGACTGCAGTGTTTTGGGGGTAGCAAAAAAGGGGCCCATCGGTCCTCCCTCTCATCTTAATGTAGTGTTCTAATGCCCCCACTGGACAATATTTTAAAGAGTTGCAAGAATTAATTGTAAGAGTAAAAACTTTACCATCAGAATGTTTATAATTTTGAAAGTGAATCAAAACTTTACTTTTTTGAAAAGTAATCTGTGAAACTTGTAAAACCTTATTAGCAGTGCCAACTGATGTTATCTCTCCTATTCTGAGGAAGCCATGAAAAGCCAATAAAAACATTGTTTGAAATAATGCCCTTTTATATATGTTCGATATTGTATGTTCTAAAGCATCACAAATTTTATGCAGAACTACTATGGTTATTGGTAAACGAATATCCATTGAAGGTCTTGATTTGCGACAGGAACTTAATAGTTTCTGAATGTTCGGTTCAATGGTCCAGATTATGGAAGAATTAAAAAAAAAAATCCGAATTTCATTTTTGAAGGTACAAGTTCACTGTTTGTATTTGCTATCCCCTTTATATAATATTGAGTCTTGTACAAATAGTTGTTTTTCATTATTCATTTATTAAGGTTTTATTGTTCTGCAGCTGCGCTTAGATACATTACAAGCCCTTCAAGTACCTCGTTTGTAGTAGTGATGAAAACAATTCACAACAGCCGAACAGGTTGTTATCTGTGGGAAAGGCACTACAGCCTTCTTGGGAATTTGACACTGTACCGTGCGAGGGGTGTCGGCTTCAAAGGTGGTGATTTATAACTTATGTCAGCCTTTCGTTTTATGTGGCGGATAGTTCTCACTGATCAGCAGCGGCTTAGTGATGTTGACTAATGGCTTTTGCAGTCGCACAATGGGTGCTTTTATTGGCTTACGGCAATTCGGGAAATACAGATCTGTTCCAAAACACTTTTGGTTCTACTATTTATTCTATTTCCGGAAAATTTTTGTCAACAACTGTAGGTGATACAGGGTGTTTTATCGAAAAGCGGCAGAATCTTAATTGTAAGAAAAGGTTCATCACTTTCTAGTTTGTTGTATTAGATTTACACATATTACTGAGCGATGAAAGTGGTTATATAATGTAATGTTAAATATCAATATGCTCTTTTCCTCTGCAATTTGCCTTACTGATTCCATGTGCTTTGCAAGCTTTGGCTGTGCAAGTGTATCTTTAATGCAATATATTGTCACATACCTATTCCACGCAGTTACCCAGTCATGCAGGGATAACGAACCATTCCTAACTCCGTCGTCATCTGTGGATCGCATATTGTGGATTACCACTTTACCTGTCTGATCCTGTTCCTCTACCTTGATAGAATACTTACTTTTCCCCTTTTCCTTTTTTAACAACAGAGCCATATCAACATATTGTTATGACCAAATTTTAGATTTTATTTTGTCAGAAACAGTTGCCTCTATCGGTACTGATGAGCTTACAAAACCTGATTTCTTACCGACATTTGCTGCAGGTGGAAGTTCAGTACCTACAATCTGTGAACTGTGTTCGATTACAGCGCCTGATACCAATCCTGAGATACTTGCATCCACTGACTTATTTGTTATTTGACAAACTGACCCAGAAGGACCTGCTGTTAAGCTATTGCTTGATGTAGTGGAAGCATTATTTCCCCTTTCTCCCCCCATATTATGAACAGAGATACTCCCCTGATGTTGCAGTAACGGTTTTATCTCTGCTAACACCTTCTCCGTGACTGCCTTTGTTATGGTTTGGGTTAATGCAGCCAAGGTTTCAGGAGGAACATCAAGGGGTTGAGTGCTTGTATCGACAGCCACAGCATCATTGGTAGTGGACTCTCCAGTTCCGTTCTGTGCACGACGTGGTCTTTTCGCCTGACTTGTTTTGGACTTTATTCCTTTTGCCTGGCATAATGCTAGTAAATATATACCTATAGAAATTTAAAATTAAGGAAGAAGTATGTATCCAATATATCATGTTATGTATAAATTTAAACTGTAAAAGGCTTCGGCCTTAATTGACAATGAACAAGAATTGTAAGACCTCACTGTAGCCAGTGTAGGCCCTAACTGTAACTATAAGAGTCAGTTAGCCTACATGACATGTTCCATGTCTTACCGTGGTTGGAGAGGCAGAGATTGACCATTCAAAATCTGACCAATCAAAATCTAACAAATGAAATTCTGACCATGCGGTGCGTTACTCTGCCTTTTCTCCCATCTACATCCTTGGAGGACGGACGTTGTTTCAAAGTTTGTTATTTACCTCCTGCCGCCCCGCCTCCGCCATTTGTTTGTTGTTTAAAGTTATGTTTTAGCGTTTTCAGACCCATTTTCATGATTTTTCTGTTAAATCTAAGTGGTAATTACTGTAAATTTGGATTATCTCCCTTTACAAAATTGGTTTTATTTCTCATCTTGATATCTTGTGTCTGCTAAAAATTATATGTCATTATTAATAATACTTTTGAGAATTTCAAACAAATTATTAAACGTCACAAAGGTGGCAACACACGACAAGGTTGGCTTTGAGAATTTAGCATTACCTGTGTTGGTTGATGTGCCATTTCCTTGAAATGGTTTTTGGGTTCTGGATTTGTCCAAGAAACGAAATGGCCGTTGAATTGGTTTTTTACATATATAGATTGGATGGAAGCCACCACAGTTATAACATCTGTGCTGGAATTTGCATGATGAACCAAGCCTACAATATCTTCCAGCTTTGTGATAGGCAAAGCATGACCCCTGAGGGACTTCCTCATACGTACCAAATGACGAACGGTCTGGTGTTATTTTGCTTGACTTCTTTTCTGATTGTTTGAGTCGAGCATTAACATATATCTCCATATGGACATCACCCCATTCTACCTCACCTTGTTCTATGAGTTCCCTGAACTCCTTATCATATTTTCTCCAGTCCCCCTTTTCCTCTGCAATTTGCCTTACCGATTCCATGTGTTTTGCAAGCTTTGGCTGTGCAAGTGTATCTTTAATGCAATATATTGTCACATACCTATTCCACGCAGTTACCCAGTCATGCAGGGATAACGAACCATCCCTAACTTCGTCGTCATCTGTGGATCGCATATTGTGGATTACCACCTTACCTGTGTGATCCTGTTCCTCTACCTTGATAGAATACTTACTTTTCCCCTTTTCCTTTTTTAACAACAGAGCCATATCAACATATTGTTTTGACCAAATTTTAGTTTTTATTTTGTCAGAAACAGTTGCCTCTATCGGTACTGATGAGCTTACAAAACCTGATTTCTTACCGACATTTGCTGCAGGTGGAAGTTCAGTACCTACAATCTGTGAACTGTGTTCGATTACAGCGCCTGATACCAATCCTGAAATACTTGCATCCACTGACTTATTTGTTATTTGACAAACTGACCCAGAAGGACTTGCTGTTAAGCTATTGCTTGATGTAGTGGAAGCATTATTTCCCCCTTCTCCCCCCATATTATGAACAGAGATACTCCCCTGATGTTGCAGTAATGGTTTTATCTCTGCTAACACCTTCTCCGTGACTGCCTTTGTTATGGTTTGGGTTAATGCAGCCAAGGTTTCAGGAGGAACATCAAGGGGTTGAGTGCTTGCATCGACAGCCACAGCATCATTGGTAGTGGACTCTCCAGTTCCGTTCTGTGCACGACGTGGTCTTTTCACCTGACTTGTTTTGGACTGTTGGGCTTTATTCCTTTTGCCTGGCATAATGCTGGTAAATATATACCTATATAAATTTAAAATTAAGGGAGAAGTATGTATCCAATATATTATGTTATGTATAAATATAAACTGTAAAAGGCTTCGGCCTTAATTGACAATGAACAAGAATTGTAAGACCTCACTGTAGCCAGTGTAGGCCCCAACTGCAACTGTAAAAGTCAGTTAGCCTACATGACAACGTATTTGAGCATATTGATATTTAACATTACATTATATAACCACTTTCATCGCTCAGTAATATGTGTAAATCTAATACAACAAACTAGAAAGTGATGAACCATTTCTTACAATTAATTTTTCACTTCATTGATTCTGCCGCTTTTCGATAAAACACCCTGTATCACCTACAGTTGTTGACAAAATTTTTTCCGGAAATAGAGTAAATAGTAGAACCAAAAGTGTTTTGGAACAGATCTGTATTTCCCGAATTGCCGTAAGCCAATAAAAGCACCCATTGTGCGACTGCAAAAGCCATTAGTCAACATCACTAAGCCGATGCTGATCAGTGAGAACTATCCGCCACATAAAACGAAAGGTTGACATAAGTTATAAATCACCACCTTTGAAGCCGACAACCCTCGCACCGTGTCAAATTCCTAAGAAGGCTGTAGTGCCTTTCCCACAGATAACAACCTGTTCGGCTGTTGTGAATTGTTTTCATCACTACTACAAACGAGGTACTTGAAGGGCTTGTAATGTATCTAAGCGCAGTTGCAGAACAATAAAACCTTAATAAATGAATAATGAGAAACAACTATTTGTACAAGACTAAATATCATAAAGGGGATGGCAAATACAAACAGTAAACTTGTACCTTCAAAAATGAAATGCGGATTTTTTTGATTTTTTTTTAATTTTAATTCCTCCATAATCTGGACCATTGAATTGAACATGATTAGGTAAATCAACTTGAAGTGAAATCGATATAAAAATCATCAAGGTAAAAGTGGGTCTAACATGAATTAAAAGCCAAAACGGCTAAATGTCAAGTACAAAAGACTGCCTGAAACTTGTACCTAGGACTTGCCTAAAGTACTGTAAAAATTCACAATATTTTAGTAATCAACTAATACCGAAACAAACAAATTGGCAGATATTTTTCCAACAAATTGCTTTCTTTTTATACAGAAAAAGGATAAATCTGGAAGGCATCAACATACACTTCTAGACTTATCAAATAAACAAGCGATGGAAAATAAATCGCCGGGGTAAAAGTTGAAACTAAAATGAAAAGACCCGCATGGGTACAAACTGGGCAAGTACAAAAGACTGCCTGAAACTTGTACTTAGGACTTGCCTAAAGTACTGTAGAATTTCACAATATTTTAGTAATCAACTTATACCGAAACAAACGAATTGGCAGACAATTTCCAACGATTTTCCTTCACAGAAAAAGGTTAAGTCGATCTGGAATGCATTGAAATACATTCATAGACATCAAATAAAAACCGATGGAAAAAATCGCCATATGCATGGTAAAAGCTGAAACTAAAATGAAAAAACCCGAACTGGTTTAAACTTGGCAAGTACAAAAGACTGCCTGAAACTTGTACTTAGGACTTGCCTAAAGTACTGTAAAAATTCACAATATTTTAGTAATCAACTAATACCGAAACAAACTAATTGGCAGACATTCTTCCAACGAATTTACTTCACAGAAAAAGGATAAATCTGGAATGCTTTAAAATACATTCCTAGATATCAAATAGAAAAACGATGGAAAAAATCACCATCTGCATGGTAAAAGCCGAAACTAAAATGAAAAAACCCAAATGGGTTGAAACTTGGCAAGTACCAAAAAACTGCCTGAAACTTGTACTTAGTATCCGCCTAAAGTACTGTAAAAATTAAACTAACAACGAAACAATCAAATTTGCTGATACTTTTTCCAACCGAATTTTCTTCACAGAAAAAGGATAAATCTGTTTTACATTATTAGACATCCTAAATGCCTATCGTACTGTTAAAATAACAAAATGTTGTATAATTTCAAAGAATATCTATCTGAAAAATTGACGAACAATAAAAGTAACAAAATGGTGACACACTTTTATGACTTAGATGTATATCTATTTTCTCGCTGAAATTAAAGCTCCCCTTATACTCCTATATAAATGAACATTCCTCTGACTGTTCAGATGAACTCCATCGTGAACAAATTTACGACTGCAGTCTCCTTCACGGGGAGAAACGAAATAATTCCCATGTTCCCAAAATACGCAGTAACCCAGTGCTGGCAATGCATCTCTCAATATTGCGTTTACTTTGTCTGCAATATTATTGTACCCAAAACGAACACCAAATCGTGGCAATAATTTACAAACAATTATTTTTGCAACTTTATAGCGGCGATGCATTACCGATACCACAGATTCAATTTCTGCAGCTAACAAGGTAGCGTCAGTACTAGGACTAATATCGTTCTCCCCAATCATTAGAACAACTACATCTGGACCTAAAGCAAATACGCTCTCCATATCCCTAGATATTACATCACGAACCTTTCTTCCACCCACACCCCTGTACAGAACGGAATGCGTTTCTCCAAGACCAAGGCTCGCAGAATACCTAATGTCACCATATTTCAAGAATTCATGAAAACGACGCACAATTGAGTGTCCAAGAATGACAACTGAAGTTTTACTCATAGAAGACATAATGAAATAAATTTACTCACCAAAATCTTGATAAAATAAATAACAAACTTTGAAACAACGTCCGTCCTCCAAGGATGTAGATGGAAGAAAAGGCAGAGTAACGCACCGCATGGTCAGAATTTCATTTGTTAGATTTTAATTGGTCAGATTTTGATTGATCAATCTCTGCCTCTCCTACCACGGTAAGACATGGAACAAAATTAACATTACAAAGCACAGCTATACAGTATTTCAGACTTTCACATTCAAGGAGGACACTTATTGATTACAATAAAAATTTTTAAGTAAACTTAAATTTATATATGTAGGTCTAGCAGCTGGCACTACTGACAGCGGTTTATAATCAACAAAATATTACTGTTGTACAATCTCTTGTTATATACCGTTTGTTAAAATGTATTTTAAAACTCGGTTAAGGATCATTTTAGCTTTGAGGCAAAATATCTTGCCACCCTTATAGTGCCCTCTTTCATCTTAATATGCCACCTTGCATAATTTACAAATCACGAAAGTACATTTCACAAGTTGTCAATTCGCAAGTCTACGAATTACACGTGATCATTGACATAACTTGCATTTACATTTTACACTTTTCAATTTATGATGGATAATTTACACTTAACGAATTGTGATATAACAGTTAACAAATTATGAAATTATGATTTACATTTTACAAATCAAGGTTCAAATGTGTACATTTTAAGAATTACAGAGTTGAAATTTTGAACCCGTTGGCTTTCCATATCAAGGTCCTGTTCCTCCTTAAGACTAGATAATTTTGAGAGGAAAGATGTTGATAATTAGCATTTATAAATGTTTATGCGCTCATATTACTGTACTTAAAAATTATACTATATTCAGTCATCACACAAACTGATATTTAAATGATTTATTATTATATTAAATATATCGGGATCGGTATCCCACAACGGATCGTGAAGAGTGAACACATTAAATTGATAAATAATCATTTATAATAATTTCAACTGAATTATTCATTTAAGGGTTGGGGATCATACTTTCTTTAATTGACATACTCTATCGCAGTCTTATACTACGTATGTGTGGATGCTATTTCGTGCATTCATGAACCATCATGCCAGTGGTAAATAAATAGCTACCTACATACACTTAGATTTATATACATCTTTATTGAATCTACAAAGCAGGCGACACATGCGTTCCATGGAACACTCTATGTTACATAATTACATGTAGGTATGATATGGCCAAAGGTTCCCTGGCCTCTCCATGCATGTATTATGGCGAAGGGGGGATTGACATGTTATGTAGAATGGTTTGTAAAAGTTAGGCTTGATGTCTGTTTCCACATTCTTAAAAGTTCTTCCTTAAAATTCAATTACCTTTCTGAGAAATAACACTTCCTACTCACATAAAGTATACACACATATACTCTTTACATGTTTACAACACAAAGCCAAATACTATGTATACTAAAAATACATACATAATCTGTGGACAATATTTTTATTAATCATTAGTTTACTTTATTTTTAACTATTTTCAAGGTGGTTCTTTCTGTCGATATGTCTGAATACCCGCAATGTTTTGTCGTCCGATCCAACCCAGAGAAGGTGGGTTTTGTCATCATAATTCAGACCCCATGGATAACTTATACCGTGTTCTTTTGTTAGTAGCAAAGAAATAAAATTTCCATCTTTGTTAATCATCTGCACTGTGCTTGTTATCAAGTCAGCTATCAGGATGTTCGATAGCGAATCTGTGCAGATTCCCCAGGGCTCCAGACTTAGTTTGGAGTCAATTGTTGGTCCGTGGTAAGTGAAGCGATGATTTCCTTTGCTGTCTGTCACAACCAAACATGAAAATTCATAATAATTCCGGTAAATCGTGTCAGAAACAATAACATCCCCATTTCGATTCTCTGTGATGAGCTCAGGATTATTAAAAAGTTTCTGACCACTTACAATATCAAACTGGATGATTTGAGCAAGTTGCCCTAATGTATTTAATATCATTACTAATGCTTCCTCACATTTGAAATATGAGTGATCACATCTTTTCAGCAGGACAAGCAGATTTCCGGAGGTTGTAGAACAGTAAATATCCCATGGTTTCAATAGTTCAAATTCATGCATGAATATAACTTTTGTTTTGTTGTCCTTACAAAGTTTGCTGATATTGAAATCCAAGTCTATGAAAATTAGTTCTCCACTTGGACTCACTGTCAGAGAACCGCGACAATCATTTTGTACGTCTCTCCGATGAAGTAAAATGTTACCAGTACAGTCGATCAAAAAGAGATTTGTTCCGTAATCATTTACCCAGATCCGGTCTGACGTCACAAAAGAAATGCGTCTACAACAATGTGTGCCTGGAACAGAGAGAGTTTTATGTAACAATGGTCTTTTTAAGAGTCTCAGGGTTCGGTCATTTTCCACCTGTCTTTTTCTAGTCTCAATAAGTCTGACTTTTCCTTGTAATTCACCCATTTCCTTCAAGTTGATTTCATTTTTGAAGGAAAATGCAATGGTCTTTGGAATGCCCTTCATCCTGCGTAGAGATGTCCTTTTTATAAATGATAAAAAATTTGCTGGTTTATTAGATGACTGTTCAAAAGAGAAGACATATGTCTCTATACTTTTAATTGTTTGCCTTGACTTTTGAAATTTAGAGTTCAAATAACGGAATATATCTTTGGTTTCCTTTACCCGTATATCTATCAGTGTCTTTTGTGTCTTGGCATGTGATGTCATTTTTAACTGGAGTTGAGTCAGACCTGTTTGACATCTAGCATAGTCAAACTTGATTTCAGCAATGGTTGTACAGAATTATTTCGCTCCTGATATCAACAGTTCTGTCCCAGATTTGTTCTCTTTGAATTTTATAGGCAGATTTGATGTCCAGTATTTTATATCCATGATGTTCATTACATTTCTCACAAACTGGACATTCACATGACTGACACCAGTATTTGTAGTTTCTGTTCAAGTGTCTTTCGCATGATTCTGCTATCATGAAGTCTTCACTCTTTAAACAGTCAACTACCACATTGTGATATTTGGTGTCAAGGTTGGTCACGTGTTTTTCCTTACAAAGATCACATAGATTTTGTTTACACGTTTTGCAGTAGTATTCAATGTTTACATGACAATGAGAACAGCTTTGTACCCTTAAAACTCTGTTGAGAGAATCTCCCATGTTGTAACATTTTTTTTTTCACAGCATTTCCTTCACGTTTGTAAATTTCTATTCGTATATTTTCTTGTGAACACTAAAATGAATGGAAATCTTATTATTTTTTGTAGCAATTAAGCATATGTATGTCTAAATATTCACAGTATTCAACACCTACACATCTGTTATGTATTCAATTCATTGAATCTGTTGTTATAAGGGTTTGAATACCTTAATGTTGCTGATCATTCATACTAGCTAAAAAAAGAATGCAAACGGCATCCCCCTTGTTAATCATTTATCTTCTTGAATGATAAACATTGTAAGTGTAAATTTTGTTATGTGTCGTACTCACCTCATCACTGAAACCAAAAATATGTGTATTCTTTTTTCTAGCATACGTGGCGATTTGGTTCAATGAGTGGGATCGATCTGTTAGCTAACATCCACGACTGTACTCGTCTATGCTAGTATCGAACATCAATGACTGCACCTGCACACTAATATCAAAGAGAGAATGCCGGAAAAAGATTATCTGGATTGTTCAACGTTTTAATTTTTTATGTAAAAAAAATCACCAAACATAATTTCAATATGAAGAAAAGAAAGTACAAATATTTTAAATTCAATGAATTTACTGTATGGAATGCTGTAGTCGTCAAAAGATAATATAATTAATTGGTTTAGTTGGTATATCCGTATCAAGGAAATTATTCTAGCCTCGAGACAAAAGAAAATATATATTTAATCTCACTGACAGAATTTCATTTTCTTCAATGCATAAATTAGTTTTTCATTGTTAAAAAAGAAATAAAAATATCCATTGAGACATATGTACGGGATAAACGGAAAAACCGGAATAAAAGATGTTAGTCCATTATTTATACACTGAATTGACGACGGATTTTCCCGTTATTTCCCGAACATGACAAGAAGCACATGGCAGGTGTGACCGATCGCCAGGGGATGTTCACTCCTTCATTGGATCCCAATTCCACCTCTTTTGTTTTGATGTCCGTGTTTGCTCTGCTCCTGTTTTGTATTGTTTTATGGACTTTTGATTTTGAATAATGTTCGTTATCGCCATATGTTTCATTCATTAGATCATAAAATGTCATACCGGTATCTGTTATCCGAGGAGAGCATTCTTGTAATGGTTCTGTACTACATTATAATTATGCATTGTAAATTATGCATTATTTAGAGATAATATTGTAAAGATGTTTGTTTGGAATGTTTGATCAGTTAAATTAGGTTCAAAGTTACTTTGGAAACTAAAAGATTTTACAAAAATGTTTAAAATCTATTTAAAGTTTTCAATTACACAAGGAAAAGTGGAAAGTTAGATGATATTCATGTGACTATCTTTTCATTTGAAAATTATGTGAAAATCATGTAAAAAATTGTATAAATATATTTTCATGTGAATATCATGTGAATAACAGTTTTTATCCTGCAACTACCCCTTGCATTGACCTATTAAAGGTTACCTAATAAACTAACGATTATCCGGTCACTGCCCTAATAAAGCCTCGTGCATGTATTCCGACGCTCTAAAGGTATTGTGACGTCACGTATATTGCAATGTTTACGCCATGGCGTCATAGTTTCAACTGTAGATATGTGCCTAAATCTGTCGTAAATAGCTTGTTTTGGACGTTCAAATGTATAATTTTGTTGCAGAATAAACACAATAAATGATAACTGTCTTGAAATATAGTTGGGCTTGAGGTCGAAAACGTAAGCCTCGCCCTCTATAACGTTTTCTTACCCTCGCCCAAATATCGCCTACATTTCAAGACAGTAACCACGTATTTTATATATATCATATTCACACAAATCTTTTTTTTTAACTTTCAGTGAAGTTTTCTTTGTATGATATTTATGCAATATGCTGTTCATGTAAAATTTATATGATATTTATGTCAAAATCACATGATGTTTTCGCATAAATTTCACATGTCTTGTTTTTTGTTTCTTTTTCATGCGAAGAATTCACATGAAATTTATGTGAGACACTTTAGCCTGTGTAATTTTTTTTAATTCAAACTGCTAGTTATCCCGTGGGGATCCGGGTTAGAATAGGTCCTCAGTACCCCCTTGCTTGTCGTAAAAGGCGACTAAATAGGGCGGTCCTTCGGATGAGACCGTATAAACCTAGGCCCCGTGTCACAGCAGGTGTGGCACGATAAAAATCCCTCCCTGCTCAAAGGCCGTAAGTGCCGAGCATAGGCCTAAATTTGCAGCCCTTCACCGGCAATGGTGACGTCTCCATATCAGTGAAATATTCTGGAGAGGGACGTTAAACAGTATACAATCAATCAATCAATCAAACTGCTAGTTTGAACAAATCATGAATATACAGTATAAAAACAAAAATTGATAATTAGAAATTGAAATGGAAATTTCCATTAATATAATAAAGAAAATAGATCTTCGAACTTCATTATCTTGCATTTAATAATCTGGGATAAAGACTATATATCATCCATACTGTAATTAGAATTGGAAATTTACCACAGTAAGTATATCAAGCAAGCAAGATGGAGTCCATATGGCAGGAACAATTACACAGGTAATTTTTCACAATTTATTTGTGTCATATGGAAATTGAAAAAAAATTATAAAATATAAGTATCTAATTTGTCTGAAGTGTCTACTTAAAGAAATTTAAATACTCAGTCTTATATTTCTTTCAATAGAAGGACAAAAAACAGCATTTGTCTGAATCTGTCTTCATGGGACTTTGTCGAGAAATAGGGACACCTGTTGTTGTTAGTATGAGACGAAGTATGGCAGATATTATTGAGAGGGTATCTGATAAGTCCGACATGAACTTATATAACATGGAGAGTGGAAGTTTCAAAGAAGGTTTCAGAATGGAGGGTTCCGATGTCGACGTGATGATCTGGCCGAGGCGCGATCTCGTTATTTGGGACGTATCTCAAGCTAAGCATCATTGTCCATCCAATTTATCATATTTTCTTGCTGACTGTTCTGAAAGTCCACCTGGATTTGCTTTGCTCAAAATTTTAATACATGGACCCAATAAATGCAAATGTCTCCTCAATTCCTGCAGCAGAATAAACGACAGACTCTGTATATCCAGTTTATTACGCAGAAAGTTCAGAAGTTTAGAAAACGGACGTGATATTAAAATACATGGAGCGTGTACGAGTATCAATAGGGGAGGTATGGAATTTGATGTTGCTCAATGTTTTGTCAGTAATATTTGGCCTCCGACAGCATTGTCATGGATAACAAAGTGTCAATATTGGCCTTCATCTAACATTGTACAAGATATAGTCGACGAAGGTTTTCACTTTGTTGCCATAGGACACAAACTTGGAAATCTTGAAGACATCGAATGGAGAATTTCTTTCTCTTCCGTGGAACAAAAACTTTTACACTGTATGAATCATTGCCAATTCTTAACTTATGGTTTGTTAAAGCTTTTTCTAAAGAAGGTTGTTAATACGATTCCAGGTGAAAACAAATTATTATGCTCCTATCATGTTAAAACAGCTGTATTCTGGACACTTCAAAACCATTCTATACCTTGCTTGTGCCCACAAAATTTTTTAGAGGGTAAATTTCTGGGTATGTTTTAAAGTTATTCTAAAATGGTTATATGACGGTTATTGTCCTAACTTCTTTATTCCAGAAAATAACATGTTTCTTACTAGAATTGTTGGTGAAGCACAGAGGAAACTTTTTTCCAGACCTCATGCATTATATGAGAAAGGTTTAACTTGTCTGTTTGAAAATTCCAGTATGAGGTCCCACATTATGCATTTTTTCTATAACCCATATGTTGCTGTATTCATTGATGTAAACACTCTTATTTCTGAAGATGAGTTCGATAAACATGAAGTGAGTATATATGATACAAATCAGAACGCTGATTTTCCTTGCAGCACAAGGGTCCTGCAGTCGATAGAACAGTTCATGAGTTTATCCTTGAAGGAGTGCCAAATCCTCTTGTTACAAAAAGTAACGGTTTCAATTCTTCAGAAAATTGCGTTTTTAATGAACAGCAGATACGGTAACTTTTTATCACATTTTTTAAACTCCAATGAACCAAATCGGGCTAACAGAATGATTTACATTGTTGAGAGAATGTCCTTCAACATGCTGAAATTTGTTGCAAGATTTGGAAATACTTCTGACATGCTGTATCTTGCTATGTATAATTACAAAACATGCAGATATTTCGAGGCTTTATCTATTTTAAAGATGACAAATGAAAGACTGGCAAAGCCATACACGATTCATACATTTTCTAAAGTTTCAGAAATGTACGTAGAGGTATCACGCGGCCATTCCTGGACTAGGAAAATGAGAAAATTTTTATCCCGGCGCGTCAGACTTTTTAATCAAAGTACTGAAAGTACTGAAAAGCGGTTAGCATGCTTTCATCGAATATGTACAGTGTACAATAACAAAAAATGCATTGAATCATGATATTAAAGTAGGCATGCATATCTTTTTCCAGTGTCATCAGCGAAGAAGCAGACACACTGAATTTTGTAGTACTTAACTAAATGGTATAACCAATAACATCCCAGACTGATGTCAC